GCTGGCTGGGGAATTCTGGGAGTTGAAGTCCACACATCTTCAAGCGGCCAAGGTTGAGAAACACTGATCTAAGGGACCGAGTGAAAGATCTGAATTGGGGTCCTTCTGGCTCCCGGTTCTTGCACATCAGCTACAACAAATTTGCACCACTATTTCCCCTCTCACCGTGAAGAGAAGTACGCTAAGTCTCTATTATGTAGAGATGAACGTCTCTCTGGGAACACCACCTGATTCTAAGCCCTGCTTGGACTCAGCTCCTGCCAGGAAAAGAAATGTACCTTCTCGAAGTACTTGATCTCATAGTCCAAGATGATCCCGTTGGGCTGCTTTGGAGGCTCCCAAGAAAGGGTCATGCTGCTTCCGGTGCTGCCATGCAGATGCATTGTGGGAACTACCGAGGGAGCTGCAAGAGGTGGGTGGGAATTGTTAGCAACCTTCCATCTCAGTTAAAGCAAGTCCCCACTCTTAACAACAGTATGGTTCTCATGGCAACAGAAAATTTCATGCATAAATGCTGTATTGGTCACTTAGGGTAATTTCTTGTTTGCTATCTTGTAGGAGCCCTGAAGCAGCCACACAGCCACTTCACACAGCTTAACGGCTACTCAACGTCCAAATGGCATTCACTTCACTGTGCTCAAAAGAGCAGCGTGAAACAGTTTGTCGATGCCACCTTCTTTGCTAAGAGAGTCCCTCTGTGGGAAGATCCTTCCATGCTACAGAAATTAAACTCTTCTTGTTCTCCTCCTCCTGCATAGATCCCAATATCCTTCTCAAATGCCAGCAGTCCATATCAAGGATACTAGTAGTTTTCTACCAGTTGCAAGAGAATTGCAATTTCCAAATTTGGGAGCCTTCGAAAATCAAAAGTGTTATACATTTATAAAACAGGAACAACATATGCAACAGCTTTGGTCTGTACTGTATCCTTCCCCTTTCATGCCAGCTGTTATCTACTTCTCATTTCAGTGCAGGTCTAGGTATCCAAACTCATTAAAAAAAAAAAATCAGCCTTGGAACAGGACTGCTTAGACTTTGGGAAAAGAATGATTGTTTGCCATATCACTTGCATTACCTCACTTGTAAATACTTCAAACAAATGAACCATGCATGTGATTTCTTTGCAATAAAAACCTGAGCAAATCCTTTGGTTAGGTCAGATTTCTATTGCTTTCCCCCAGGATTTTTTGGCAGGAACAAGATTCCAAACTTAACACAGCAGGATCCACACTGGCTCGATGGAGCTTACCATGAGGAGGTCCCAGGGAGAGAAGGAACTATGGTTCTTCCTGGGCAGCACTTACCTGCCTGATTGGTAGTGATGTTGACAGAGGCAAACTGGGGGTTCTGGAGACTTTTGCTGGAGACACCATTCACAGCTTGGATTTCAAAGGTGTACTGTGTGTGGGCCATCAGGTTGCTGATGTAGATGTGCCTCTCAGTCAGACCAAGTTGGCGGGGGACAAACTCCACGTTGTCATCACAACGCATGCACAGCCGGCGCTCCACATTACATTTCTTGCAGATGACATTATAGAGCAAGTCATCCCGCCCACCCGAGTCTCGTGGTTCGCTCCACTCCAGCACTAATGACGTCTCGTTCACGTTGGAAATGACACTGCGTGGGGCTGTCGGCACGCCTGCAAGAAAATCAGAGGACCTCAAGGCATCTCAAAATTCCTTTCCCAGATCTGAGTGTGTGTCAGCATACCACGTGGCGTTCTGAGTTGGTGGGATTCAGCAGCACAATGTTGGCCTTGCGAGGTAGATGCTAGATTAGAGATCCTAGTTTGCTTAGAATAGTATGACTGTGTTTGGGATGAAACTGGAGTTTGGTTGAGCTTGTGGCTTTCTGGCTGAACTGGGCCCAAACTTACTATCAGTAGGAATGTCATGATGGGCGTGGAGGTCACTATCTCTGGGACCATCGGGTGATGCTTGTGGCATATGGAAGGTCACAACATAGAATATGAAACAAGTAAGTGGTAAAGCATGTGGATTAACAAACAAAAGACAGAAAACCAAGTAAGCTGTGTATCTGTGAAACTAAGAGAAATGGGTGTGATGCAATAGATTTGAATGTAGCTGATTTTGTGGAGTAGAGTTGATGAATACCATGCAGAGAAGAGAAAATATAGATTTAGCATGAATGAAATGGCTAAACGTATATCAGAAAATATGAACTGGTGTCCTCTAGGTTGTTATGGAAAAAAAGAAGAAAACCTATGTTGGCAATAGATGCATGCACAGTCTAGTAAATGGAAATTATGAAAGAACCAGAGGATGAGTTTTGAGGAAAACTGCAATATTCCAAATGAATGTGATCTGGGGGTGGGGGTGGGAATCTGGTAGGTGACATGAAAGGATGGGTGGAAACAAGATGAGGGAGTACTCAAAATGAGATTGGGCCATTTGGAGACCCAAGAATAAATCAGAATGGTAAGCATGTCAAGAAAAACATAACAGTAAGTTGAAAGCTATGGGAATGGCTTATGAAGTTAAGAAGTGAGGAATGTAAAACAATAAGAGAGAGAGGGTCAAGAATTAATGGTACAGAGTGAATATAGCAGTATTGTAGAAGTACAAATGGGAAAACAAGTACATGAAGGAAGAATGAAAGGGCTGAGAAGAAAGGGAACTCCAAGAAAGATGTGATTGTATGGGGCTGATGAGATCCACAAAAAGAAAGAGGGGAGAATGTATTGTCGAAGGCTTTCACGGCCGGCATATGATGCCTGGTGTGGGTCTTC